GGCTTGGGCTCCTCCCTGGCCTCCTGCCTCTTCATGCACTACTACATCCCTCAGGGGATGTCAGACTGCCGGTTTTGCTCTTTCTCTCAGCCTGGCCTGCAGGGATTGGGCCAAAACCTGCAGTCCCACATCCCAGGAGGGGTCCCAGATTGCGAGAGGGTGCAGGCCAGGCTGAGGGACCCCAATGGTGCACAGATCCGGGCCTCCAGCTTTTATATAAAAACGATGGTTTTCCCTCCCCAAATCTTCATGTTAAATTGATACTCTAAGAGGTTGTCCTATGTTTATCCTGCAGCCTCCCATGCCCCTGGGTGAGTACACACACAGTGTTTGAGAAGCAGCTATCTAAAGTCTAAAGAACAAATCCCACATTCCTTCTAGGGCCTTCGGGTCCAAGTGCTGTTTACTTCTCTACCCTCTGTCCCTTCCAAACGCCTCCCAAACGTATGAGGTCCTTCGCTGCCTGCACCTTTACTCCTGTGGCTTCACCAATTCTGAAGGGCCTTCCTTCCCACTGTCCTCTCCCCTGCTTCCTCCCCTCCCCCCAACTCTCCCTCCCAGATCAGCCAGAAAGACAATTCTGGGAAGCCTTCCCTGGCTTCTCCTGACAGTGACATGGCTCCTGCCTCCTGCACCCAGTGTGCTTTGGGCACATAGAGTGGTAACTCTTCTATTGCTCACTAAGGAGTTGGACCTGGCTGCATTCATCTTTGTATCAGAATACTTAGTAAGCACTCAATAAATAGTTATGGGCTAGATTGATTAATGAAAGGGAGACCATTGGAAAAGGAGCTGTTTTAAAAAGTCTTTTCTCTTCCTCATACCCAGGACTGTTCTTTGGGCAAAGAGGATAGAATGAGCCCAGCATTTTAAAGAGAGACATCCTGAATGTTGTTAGCTCGTGTGCATTAACGTGAATCTGATGCACACAACAGGGCTGTGGATTAACTACTAGTATATGACTTTACAATATTTCCTTCTTACATTATGTATTTTTAGAGAAAAAAAAATTTAAGATAAAGTTTTTGTTTTTGTTTTTTAATTTTGCAGATGGAGCTAGTGTTAGAAAAGTGAGATACGAGATGATGTGTCAAAACTGGTTCATTTTTGTTTTCATGTTTTTAGTTTGTCAGATCAGACTAAACTCATTTCTCTAGTGGTTATTCTCAAAAGTTTCACCTTTAAATAGAAAAGTAATGATGTGAAAAGCACGAGCACACACACACACACACACACACACACACACGAGGAGACACACTATTGAGAGAGGAAAGAAGTGGAACCATTATAAAAATCCACTGCTCCTGGAATCTTGCTATATTTGGCCTTAAATTGACAATAAGTACTGACAATTATTGGATGCCACAGTTCAGTTCCTTTAATTGCAGATACTAGAAATAACAACGTCCAACCAAAACAGAAAAAAACAAACAACCCATATCTACTTTCAGACTAGTTTGCTCATAAAGTGTATTACTCTATGCCTGGAGGTCTGCATTCCCTTTTATCTACCAGTCTTTAGTGAGTCTATATATAATGCTAGGGTATACCGATATCTTAAAGAAATATATGACCAGAGATTTAAGTTTATTTTTAAATTTTTATTCTTTTTCTTACTTATCCATAGCCTTTAGGGCCTGTTTGAGAGTCCGGTTTGAGAATTATTTATTGAGCTTCCATTATGTGTCAGGCCTGTGCATACTGAAGGATTGCAGTCCCTAATCTCTAGTAATTGGCAGTCTGATCAGAGAGAGTTATAAAGACCTATATGCAATACAGCTCATTTATTAAGTCCAAGGACCTAGAGCAGCGGTTCTCAACCTGTGGGGGTCGAACGACCCTTGGGTCACCTAAATACATCCTGCATATCAGATATTTACATTACGATTCATAACAGTAGCAAAATTAGTTATGAAGTAGCAACGAAAATAATTTTATGGTTGGGGGTCACCACAGCATGAGGAACTGTATTAAAGGGTCGCAGCATTAGGAAGGTTGAGAACCACTGACCTAGAGCATTCACTAATTGACTTAATTAGTATGTGCTTTATCTTTATTAATGAAACTGTAAGCATATTTTCTCCTCTGCAAATTCACTTGAAAATGCATATCTGTATAAGTATTCACACACTGATGAGTATGACGAGGCAACGAACAGGATGGAGAATTTGAGTGTTAGAGTAGTATTTTTCATTGGGAAATATACGAGATAAATTATTACTCATGGGCCGAAACCGGTTTGGCTCAGTGGATAGAGCGTCGGCCTGCGGACTGAAAGGTCCCAGGTTCGATTCCGGTCAAGGGCATGTACCTGGGTTGCGGGCACATCCCCAGTAGGAGATGTGCAGGAGGCAGCTGGTTGATGTTTCTCTCTCATCGATGTTTCTAACTCTCTATCTCTCTCCCTTCCTCTCTGTAAAAAATCAATAAAATATATTTAAAAAAAAAAAATTATTACTCATGGTATATACTTAGCTTTAAAAGAGATATTTATTTATTTTAGGTAAATACTGTAATAATCCTTTCCCACGAAAGTGAAGACAATATTTCTAAATTAAAAAAAGACAGGAAAAAATTTAAAAACCATGTATGTTTTCTTCAGAAATTTGACCTGAATTTAACCTTATTGCATTACCTAATGTTTTCAAAAGTAGAAACTGTCAGCCTTTTCAGGGATGTTTTCTGAGGTTACTTGTTAGTAAATAGACAAGGAATTTTGAATAATGTTACTTCCCACTAAGTATGGGTCATTTCTAGGTGGTTCCGGGTATTGCTGAATTTCAAAATGGTTTTCCTTTTGTCTTAGTGAACATCAAATGGTAAACCTCCATGAACAGAGATCAGAAGGGCCTCTGCTTGAAAATTGATCAAAGAGAATTCACAATGTTAGAAGAAAGGTGCAAGGTAAATATCAAAATTTTCACCCCTGAAAAACCAGAAATGTAAGCATCCAATAAGTAGTAAGGAAGGCTAGTAATCCACCTAGAAAATCAGGGGGGAAATCGCCACAGAAATGGTTTAGGAGGTGATCAGACACAAGAGGTATGTCCAGTGGGAGATTTTTGCTTCCAGGAACCACTGCATGCAAATACTTCAGGAAGAAAATAAGAATCTTTTATGAGATCTGATTTCCCTGGGGGGAAATATGGTGGGTATTCTTTAGCATTTATACTTTTTCACCTTTACAGAAAAGGTCTGCGGAGTGGTCATTTATTTACCAAAACTGTGATTCAGGTTTCACATACAAAATGACTGCATTATACGGATTCTTACGGTGGCTGACCATACTTGGGTTAGAATCAAGCATTCATATTCACACTTCTGGTTGTTGAAAGGAAAAAAGGAAGCTTTAATGGTAATGATGAGGTAGTCCATTTTAAAGCTACATTTGAAATCACATGCTACAAGTAAAGTGGAATTGTGACCTCAGAAGGTCGACCTCCAATAAATGAAATCTCCACTAAGTTATGGAAGATTTGGGGGAAAATCTTGCTGCTCTTGTTCTCCCACAGTGAGCACTGAATGTACTCCTATTATACAATGTTCGATGCTTCACTTCATTCTTCAGTCTCACCATCCATTAATCTTTTTGAGGGCACAATGGTATCTTATTCATGAACAGATTTCCAGTAGTTAATAAACAACCCAGTATGTGTTAAGTTCTTAAAAAAAATAGTTGTTAAAGGACTACATGGACATCCATTCAAGTGTAATGTGGTGACCGATGGATAGGAAGTGCTACGTTATCTGTATGATGAGACACCACGTTAGGAAAATTCGCTCTCCTCTAGAAGCCTAGATTTTTACTACCAGTCTGCAAAATCAATGTGAATCGCTAATATTATTGTGGATACAATTTAAGCTATCTGTAAGACCGGTTTCAATGCTTCAAAGCATTATAATACTTCCTTATACACTACAAAGGGAGAAAAGGTGGTACATTTAATCTTTTTATATGATTCCAAGACAGGAATACCCTCACATATTCTTTTAAAAAAAATAATTGCAGGTGCCATTGGGCAATTTTTCTGAAGCATATTTTTATACTCTGGTCCAGTAAATTAAAAAATGTTTTCAAGACTATCTGAAAAAAGAAATATATATTTATTTTTATGCTGTGCCCCAGGTGCTATACTGGATAAATGCTTTATTTCATCAACATAATCTTGTGAAGTGACTATTATATTCCTATATTATAGGGAAAGAATGTATTTATGGGTAAGGAAATCATTATTTTTAACCTCCCAAGGAATGGAAAATATCTGGACTGGATGATGTCTAGAGCACAGCTGTGTTCAATCCTGAAATGTAGCATTACAAGATGGCCTCGGGAGCATATGAAGTAGATCAAAATACTGCTCCCCAAGGAATAGCCACATGTCACAGCATCTACATTGATAAAGGAATACAGTATTGTTGAGTGTACTCCCCCAGGGTCTTTTAAATTAATTGGGATAGAACTGAGAAATTTTAAACCTTGTGGGTGAGGTTGCTAGTGAAGAATAGGTAAGTCAGTTATCTTTGAGACCAAGCTGCCTGATTGAGTCGGTCATAGAAAAATGCTATAGTAACCCAGCTCACCTCATCATTCCCACACTCCCATCCTCTATCCCACCCAACTCTGTCCAGTTACTAACTCATCAGCCTATTGTCTTTTCATCATAGCACTTATTGTATGACATTATAGTCTGTCTACTACAAATTCCACTAGAATGCAATGCTATCAGAAAGGGACATTGTATATCTTGTTCTTCTCAGATGTCACCATACCCCGAACAATGTCTAGAATATAGGAGGTGCTTAATAACTATTTGTTAGATGAATGAATATATGTGGAGTATTTAGAGACTCTAAAATCTGCTTACTCTACATGGACCTAAGGAAGTTTCAAGGAGTTCTACTGTTAAAGGCATTGCTTTGAGTAAAGTGATAAATAAATCAGGGGAATCTGATTATAAAGTAAATGTGCTATTTGGGCAAAGATAATACCAACCAAGGGGCAGCATTAACATTTTAATAAGTACTACTTTGGCAGATGAGCAGGTTTTTATCTAATAAAAAGCAAAGCCCCGGGGGATGGGGACAAGTTAGTTAGAGTGACACAGGGTGGCTCAGAGTAGGGAATGCGAAGTAAGGGTCCAGAGGAGCTACTTTCCTATAACCTGACCTTGACAAAGGAGGCAGAAGAACTAAATGGCTGCATTTGATGTCTTTAAATGTTTGCCTAGGACTTGACGATGTCTGAGGGCTGTTTATCCTCACTTCCTTTCCTTTCGCCTTTGTTTTCTCAGCACTTTTTCGTAGTCATCTCTATTATCCAAGAAAGGATGGTCTCTATGTATTTCAGTTTCTTTTTCCTGAAAAAAAGGTAATATGTTATTTGTATAATGCCATCTGAGTTCTAAAACTTTTTTCTGATGTTCACCTATAATCTTCTTTCTATAGTTTAAGCCAATTCTTTTTTTTCTCACTATCTCTAGTGGAAAGAAAATGTCTTTAGCATTTAATTCATAGGATATCTCTTATTTTCAGAGACCCTCAAATTCTGTACTCAATAGGCCAGCTGAGGAGAAAAAAAAACAGCTTTATTTGCTTTAATGCGGGGCATGGGGTGAGAGAGAGTTTATTGGAAGGACTTCAACCAGTATTTATAAGCCAAATTTAGTCAAACCACTTTGTTTAGACACTTCACCTCAATTTTCTCCAGTTAAAATATTCCAGTACTTTAAGCCTTTCCTATGTAGCCTCTTTCACACACCTTTAATTAGTTTTGTGGTTCTTTCATAAGGTCATCTCAATTCTTTTTTTCTCCCTAATAATATGAAAACTTTCCAACCAGTAGGTTTCTTTTCAGTTTCTGAATTCTAAACATGCATGTATGTCCTTGCAGAAAAAAATTATGCATCTTTAAATAATTTGTTATTTTTACCTATAACTCTATTATGCCAAGCAACTTATGTCAGAATGTGTGTCCTAGATCAAGATTGTTAAAAATTCAGTAAAAATAAGAAAAATGAAGTAAGAACAGAAAAAAAAGATTTAAAATGTATTATAGGAATAACTGTATATGGCTAATTAGGGATAAAGAATTTGAAACTTTAGACATAAACAACCCAATAGTTATCAAAAGCCTAGATTTGCCTAGTCGGTGTGGCTCAGTTAGTTGAGCCTCAACCCATGAACTAGGAGGTCAAGGTTCTATTCCCCATCAGGGCATGTGCCTGGGTTGTGGGCTCGATCCCCATGTAAGAGGCAGCCGATGGATGATTCTCTCTCATCATTGATGTTTCTATCTCTCTCTCCCTCTCCCTTCCTCTCTGAAACAATAAAATATATTCTTTAAAAAATTATCTTTGATGGAGGGTTTTGTGTGTAGAAAAAACTATTTAGAATTTTTAAAATTAAATGTACAAATTCTAAACAGTAGTTTTGTATAAAGGTCTTAGGTTCCATTTACAAATAATATTCTAAGTCTAGTAAATATTTTCAATCATATTTAAGGGCCATCAACTAATGTTTCCTCTCATTTACATGTAAATGAACTCCTTTGAACATCTTAAACTCTATTTACAAATTTAAAATACTCATTTTCTTCTAATACTATGATTGTCTGATTTAACAAACAAAACCCTCCTGGTACCAAATAGACCATACCTCTAATAAAAGAAACTCCTAAGTATAATGAACTTTAAGATCTCTTAACTATTCTAATATGGATGTCAACTGTATAAAATTTCAAATTACATCACAAGTCTAAATCCATTACATATTACATGTTTTGAATTATAACTAAAAAAAAAGAAAACTGATCTGTTCACTCTAATAGACCAAATTCCAGCCATTGAAAGTACCCAAACTAATAAGTATACACAGATTTCCTAACACAAAATATATTAACACCATGAAAAACTTTCCAAATCTTGCAGTTGAAAGATGCTGAGCCACTGAAGAAGCGATTATGTCATCCTTCCCATGTAATTTTTGCATTCCCATGTAATTTTTGCATTGTCTTCCAGGTTGCTGAAGCTTCATGAGGACCAGACGGTGCAGGCTGAGACAACACTGCATCCTTGTTTGTGACACCGAAGGGGCATTCTGACACACTGAGCCGTATTTATGGCCTTGCTCTGAGAGTTCACCGTTTACAACAAATCTTAGAGGTGCGTCATTTTATTACCTAATTTTCAAATCCTATTAGGATCTGTAATACTCACACTAGAAATACAATTTAAACTTCTTTACATGATTGGACTTTGTCTTAGACCAGTGGTCAGCAAACTCATTAGTCAACAGAGCCAAATATCAACAGTACAACGATTGATATTTCTTTTGAGAGCCAAATTTTTTCAACTTAAACTATATAGGTAGGTACATTGTTATTAACTTAATTAGGGTACTCCTAAGGCTTAGGAAGAGCCACACTCAAGGGGCCAAAGAGCCACATGTGGCTCGCGAGCCACAGTTTGCCGACCACGGTCTTAGACTATTGAGATATTTAAATGTCTTTTTAGCCAAACTCTTGCATTCTGTGCATACACTTTTAATGTTTTAGAAACACCCAAAGCTTATAATGTTAAAATAATAATACATTACATTCTAACTATGTCTCGTGGATTTGTCTGATTATTTTATCATAAGTTCTAAGAGCATCAAAGACACCTTACAAATCCTCTTCTAAAATGTACCCCAAGGAAATATTTATAGATGTGCAAAGGAATTCAACCACAGGGATTTCATCACAGTATTATTTTTAGTAGAGAGTGACCTAAATGTCAAACAAAGTCTCTTTTGTTATTTAAAAATTCCTTAAAGGCAGGAACCAAAGTTTGTGTGTCTCTCTTTTCATCTGGAATCGACCTTATGGCTCTGCACATAGAAGGTATTTAATAAATGCTTGTTAATGAAATCATCTCTTAAACACACTCCCCTGCAGCAACTGTGTCGTTGGGAGTGGGGTTTGGAAGGACTTTATATTCCGAAACATCTTCATGAGCCATTTTTAAAAATGAATAATCGATGTGTGTGTACTAGGTCTTATGTCAAGCACTATACAAACTCACAACTTGACCCCTCTCTTTATAACAGTAAGACATGGTCCCTAAGACCCTCTTATGTAAAATTTTAGATCTACCACTCTTTTGTAAGATAGTTTTAAAAAGAGAAAAAGGAAAAGAAACGTTTTGATACGTTGTCATATTTGTCCTTCAATGGGAGTATAGAATGTGGTAAAGAGAGAGGGAACCAGCTGAGAAATGCCTCTGCTTTGTTATCAATTAATCATATACAAATCCTAATATTTTCCAAAGATTGTACAATAAATGTGGATTTCTTTTGTAATAAAGCAAAATAGGCTTTAAAATTATACTTAAATAATATTATACTCTTCTCTTAACTTTTTTCACCAATCCTCTAAAAACAGTGGTTCTCAACCTTGGCTGCACATAAGAATCACCTGGGAATCTTTGAAAATCCAATTTTCTGGGCCCCATCCTTCGGGAAATTCTGTTTCTTTGTTATGGGGTGGGGCCACAACATTAGTAACAAAAGAAACAGAATTTCCGGAGGATGGGGCCCAGAAATCAGGATTTTAAAAAGATTCCTAGGTGATTCTAATGTGCAGCCAAGGTTGAGAACCACTGCTCTAAAAGCTCTTGTTGGTCAGTGGGAGGGGAGTAGATCCTATTGTAGTTGCTTTGGAGGCTGGGGCCCTGCTGGACAGAGTGCTGAAATTCATTGTCATTGACAACCTGACCTATACCACACTGAGTGCATCTGGGAACTCAGAGAGCAAAATGGGGAGTCCAGAAAGTATCCCAAAGCTTCTGTGGCAGGCTGTTCTGGCTCCTGGGAGCTCTGGTCCCCTGCTTGAAATAAAAATGCTCACAGGTTTGCGAATCCAGTCTTTTTCCAAGAGTTTCAGTAAATAGTCGAAGTTCTGCTTTCTGAGGTGAGGCAGACAGATAACCAGCTAACAAGATGTGGACTATAAAAGGGGTGTAGATAATGTTATTGTCAACATAGAATAAAAGGAAAGAAAGGTCAGCAGCCCTGAAGAGGAAAAGAGACAAATGGGAGGAGTCACAGGACTTGCCTGTCTACAGTGGGTGGCATTGCTGGGAGTCATTCCATCCTTGGTAGTAGTCCTGGAAGGCTTGCTGGAGGAGATAAGGATTCAGCAGCTGCTTATCTCAAACACACGTATCATAGAAATTGGTACAATACCAAAGTATGCTGCCCCCCACCCCCTAAAAATGTAAATGAGAAAACAGGATATGTTTCTGGGGTCTCACAGGGAACCTCAACATTGATGATTTAACAGCACCTTGGACAATCATCTTAGAATATGGTTATGTGATGGTCTCCTGATCCAGCCCCCATTTTAATCCCATGGCTTGCATGCTACACTCCCATCTCCCTCTCAAGAAGGAGTACCCTGCCTCCATATTGTGCCTGTGCTGCTCCCTCAGTTGAAATGTAAGAATAGCAGTAGAAAAGGTAAGTGACACCCATGTTCTAATCCTGGCTCTGCTAGGCTCTCTGAGCTTATTGCCTCATAGTTAAAAGGAAGGTAATAATGCACCCTTCCTACCAGGGTGGAAGGAGATCATGTCTGGGAAAGGACCAGGCCTCGTGCTCAACTTAATGTGTGATTGAAAGATAAACCGGTATATTTTTCAAAACGTATGGCCAGTCACAAATGAGTTTTGTTGTGGTTTGATTATTCTCCTTCTTTAGTCTTGCCACAGGTCTCCCTTCAGCTCTTTTTCAACGCTGGACAAGAGAAATTTTAGGCATAATAACCATAATTAAGTTAAAATTCAACCTAAACATAGTGCTAAGAACAATGTACTGTACTATTGACCATGAAAATATAGAGATTTTAGATTTACGGTCCTCCCATGTGGCTTTAGCATGTGGGGCTGTCAACGTAAGAAACGCCCAAACCTGTAGAAAATTTTTATGAGTTTATTTGAGCCAAACTAATCACATATGCCAGGGAGCAAGATCTCAAATGCTCCAGAGAATAACAGGTTTGCAGCTCCTCTTATGCATTTGAAATGAAGGAGGGGAAGATTGGAGAAAGCAAGGCAGGGATTGGATTACAGGGTACTTAACAAGATTACGTGCTCTCTTACGAGGTAATACCCCCTTTGAAGGGTATCCTGGCATTTCAAAGGTGTGTTAACCTAGATGCACAAGAACAATGGACAGGGCTGGCTTATAACCTTTCACTAAAGAAGTTACAGGCCTGGGAAGTGACCACCCACCATGATCTGCCCAGTTAGGAATTTATGATCAGTAACCTTGTGAGATTTGCTTTCATACAACCCCTGTTCTTTTACCCACGGGGCTTTGGACTTTAAATAAGATCAAATAAAGTTTTCTTTCTAAACCAAGCTTTTCCCCTTTCCCTCTTGTCTACAATTTACTGCTCACGCAGGTCTTACCTCTGCAAGGACAAGGCCTTTCTTGGCTGCTCTGGACTATCTAACCTTCTTTTTTGAGTGTGACCGTTAGCATTGACTAGCCGTGAAACTCCAACAGAGATTTTGCCATGAAATAATATTCATCATACGGTCCCCATTTACTGAGCACTTTATATTTGTCTAATTTTTACAACAACCTGCAAGGCAGCTATACTTATCCCGATGTTACAAATGGAGGCAATCGGCTAAAAGGGATTAAGTAACAATGGTAGGGCTTGGATTCAACGCATGAAGTTTCCACGACTCCAACCTACCTTCCAAATATGCTTATTACTTATTCATTCGGGTTTTTTAATTTGTGGGTTGATTAATTTGTGTGTCCCCTTCCATAAAGTATTAATGGCCATACCTCTGAATGCAGGGTTATATTACAACGCTCTTTGCTTGCATTGGTTCCCTTCACTTCTAAGTTACAGGCCGTCACCTGTTGAACAAAGCTAATGCTCTCCCGTTCTTCAATGCTGTTATTGTATCCTTCCAGAACAAAGCTAAGAATGCTAAGTACTCCCTGTACACACTTATTAAATGAACTGAATTAATGAGGAAAAGAGGAGCCCATAATGAGAACCCCCATATCACTGCTATCCCTCAACATTGGAATCCAAGAACCTAAGTCAATGTTCATTAATATTGACTCAACAAGCCTAGCTCAGTGTCACCAATTTTCCAACTGAAGGACTTGAGTTATTTGTTTTTCACGATGAGGCCAATGCAGAGCTAACTCAAATTCATGCTTCTCAAATGTTTTTTAAAAACATAAATTTGAAAGTTGATATTTAGTAATAGCCAAAAACATTGAAAAGGTGGCAATAACAACCAATGTTTTTTGTCACCCAGTTTTTAAAAATAGCTCACTTATGTGTTACTTGTTTAGACATTCAGATATTACTAAATATATTCTCTTACTGAAATGTGAACTGCCAAGAGTCAGCCCACAGGCATATTTTTATAGGCAAGTTACATATCCCTGAAAAATCATCGTAGAATACACAATAACGCCTACGTCCCTAAGGCCAAGGTCCACAAGCAGCTTCTACGGACCTGTGTGCCACAGGAGGCAGCAGTCTTTCCTAACTGAAAGGAACCCATAAAAATCTCAAAGGAAAGGAAAACATCTTTTTAAAAACACGAAGCATCAAGCCATCAGTCACATCAGAAGGGAAAACACAGGCTAAAAATACATCCCATGTTCTTTCCAATTCTGTTTATTATACTCATAAATGAAAGTGTCCTGTATAATTTATTCACGCATAGACCTTAAACCTTTACTCATATTTATTCAAAGGCAACAGGGCTAGAGGTTCCTGATAGTACTATAGCTTCGCCATTTGTGCCCATATGATTCAGTTCCTGTGGACTTGGTTCGTATCCACAAAAATCATGTCTGTGAATTACAGATGGGGCTCAGAGAAATTGCATCATCAGTCAAACATCAAACATTTAATGAGTGTTCATTGCACTCATTGTGCTAGGCACTGTGGCCATATTAAACATAAAAAGTATAATTCTTCTGTTAAAAATGAGTTAAATTGAATCCAGGTGTTGGTATAAACAGATAACTGATTTCTTTTTATTATTATTTTATTTTTATTTTTTAAATATATTTTATTGATTTTTTACAGAGAGGAAGGGAGAGGGATAGAGAGTCAGAAACATCGATGAGAGAGAAACATCAATCAGCTACCTCCTGCACACCTTCTACTGGGGATGTGCCCCAGCTACCTCCTGCACACCTTCTACTGGGGATGTGCCCACAACTAAGGTACATGCCCTTGACCGGAATCAAACCTGGGACCCTTGAGTCCGCAGGCTGATGCTCTATCCACTGAGCCAAACCAGTTAGGGCTACAGTAACTGATTTCTATAGTCCTTTATAAAAAAAAAATCTTTTTAATCTAAATTGAAAACAAATTTTCAGTCAATATTTTGAGATAAGTCTTTGAAATTATGAAGTTCTCTCTATTGCTTCTACCACCTCGTGTATTATTGTGTAGAGTAGCAGTCACCAAAATGCATTCCAGTTTGAACTGAGTGAAACAAAGTGACAAGGATTTCTGAGAGCCTTTAATATAGTAATGATTCCCCAAACATATTCGACAGTCGGTTTTGTGGTTGTTGTTTTTAGTTTGTTTGTTTGCTTTTTTATAAACATCTAATGATAACTATGTTTATGCCTGCGTTTGTCTTCTCAGGAGTCTGGAAGTTCAAAGAGAAGTGTGTGTGTGTGTGTGTGTGTGTGTGTGTGTGTGTGTGTGTGTGTTTTCTACTTGTTATCTAAAACATAATGAAATTCTCTGTGTGCCAAAAATGTCTGCGATCCTTAGATAAAAACTGGTGTACCAGAGGAAAGGGATATTCCGATCACTTTCAGTCACATGCTTTCAGTCTCATTGCCCATGGGCAGCCCTGGCAGGCTCACTCTCAGCATCCCTCTCGCACTTTTCTCCGAGTGTCCAGGTGAGGTGGCTGTTGCTCTCAGCTCTTTTCCTTCAGACTGTGAGAAGTAAACCACAGCAGCTGCACACCAGCGCTTTCTCTACCACCAGGAAAACCCCCGAGACCGTTCAGATCTCCAGAAATATGGAGGTGCGGGTGGTGCTTCGCAGGGGGTGGGCTGCAATTCATTCTATTCTGCATAAATTTCAGTGTCTTCTCTTGAAAGTTCAGTCCGCCCAGCCTATGGTTTGGGAGAACTGGGAATGTTTCTATTATTGTTCCCATCAACAGCCGTGCTTTTGTTACTTACAGTACACAGGATGTTCCTTCTTGTCTTGCAATAGGGGGAATGAAGTGTGAGGAAAAATCAGGAACAGTAAAAATACGCCCCTCGTTTTTCTAGGATAATGCTTAGGAAATGCAACACTCATCCAAGACAAAGGTGAATGAAGTGATAGCAGTCTCATTTTTAGGGGTGCACCAGAAGTCTTGCTTTGGGTTCTTTATGTCCGTATGGTTACAAGAAGAGTTGCCATTATATCTTATTTTATTTATTTACTAGTATCATTTTGCTACAATTGTATCCTCTTTTGCAATTTTTACTTCTTTCCCCCCTGGAATTTAAAGACATTTCATAATTGCCAGGAGAAGATGAGACTACTTTAAAGAGCTGGAAACCGACTGCATCTCATGCATGATCCCAGCAAAAACAACCAACCACAAGCCAACCAGGGGAAGACTAGCAGAATTCGATGTCTGCCATGGGTCATCCAACAATATGGCAGGAAAGAGGGAAAGAGGGAAAGAGGAGGGCCTGGATTACTCACTTCTCTGTGTCCCTTAGAGGCCCCTAGAACCCTTCAACTTCAGCAGATCATTATTTACACCTTCTTCATTAAGAAAACAGAGGTCAGGCGACCGGGGCTTCCTTCACTCTGCTGCCCTTCTCCAGGCAGTCCCTTGGATCTCTGAAGAGAAAGGGACTTCTTGTCCAGATAAAACTCCTCATCTATGCGTGATCTCATCTTCCCCAATCTTCATTACGACCAGGGA